GTTGCAAAGTTCTGGTTGTTCGTCCACTTTTGGACCTGTTAAATAGCTTGAAATTTGCATGCGCATCTGCCTATTTGTTGGTTCACTGCCTCACTGGCAGATGCACTTCGACTTCAAAACAAATTTTCCCAATTAGTTGACCTTTACGACATACTGTTCGAGGTTTATACAACGCATCAACATCATGACACACGGGTAGTAAACCCATAAGTGCTCCGTTCTTTCTTCTAATTCAAGTCTGAGTCCGAAGAAGCTCAGCACAGTGCACAGGTTCTGTAGCACCGACGAGGACCCTGAAATACTTTGGGTAGTTTTTCAACTCCAAATTTTGTCCGGGCAGCGCCGTTAGGGCGCTTTACAGATTTCTAAATGCCAAGGGATTTTTTTACGTGCTCAACAATGCATACGGGCGTCCGATCTCACTACCCAGAAACCAGGGGGAAATTACTAGTACAAGTCCACGTAAATTGAATCGGGAACCTCTAGCACTCGAGGCGGACACGCAGCGCCCTTTTTTAAAATGGAAAAAGACAACCTGGAAAATTGACAAAACAATCTAATGAGAGCTTAATCGGCGCTGCGATTAAAAGGGCGGTTGGGACGCTGTGTTGTGATTCGCAGCAAGGTTACGATATATGTACCCTTCGGCCCTTTGCTATTTATTTTTCATTTTGAGAATCGATTTCAAACACAACAGGCATACCCATAGACGCCCCGTCTCTCACAGCAAATGTACTAATGCGTAGAGGCTAACAGTTCTCGCGGCCTGGCGAATTGGTCAAGCCGTTGGCCTTGCGTTCTGAAGGTCATGGATTCGTTTCGCGGCGACGCCGTTTAGTCCAGAAGTATAATTTTTACGGCGATCCCTGGCAGGCAGCTGGCTGTTGTGCGATGTGAAACTGAGCAACATGGGATCAAACCCGGTGCAATGAAAAAAACTGGTGATAGAGACGTCTGGCGATCTCTCTGGCAAACCTCAACACCCCAAGGTAGAAGAGGGGCGACTAAGTAAGTAAGCAAGCAATGAAGTAGATCCTCCCACCTTTACCTTACTATAAGGCAGACGAGGTTAGTGCCCTGTGGGAGAGCGTGTACAGTTCGGACAAGCAGATGGATCACCACAGTCTGGTGAGATTGATGAAAAAGGGATGGGGGGTGAAGACAGGTTCTGGCAGATGCTTGAGGCTTAGAGGAAAGGCAAGACGGACGTCTAATCAGAATGCTATTGGCACCATTAGTATCGGAACTCTTCGCTGGCTGCTGAAGATCGGGATGGAGCGCTTATGGGAATGCCCCGAGTGCTGTGATGATGGTTCTTGAATCAAACTTTTACTTTATTAATTACTTACACATGCTGTTGTCTTCCTCGTTTACGTCCCCATTGCCGGATCTACTTTTTAATTCTACGTTCACACATTCTTACAAACAGATTTTAGGGAGAATAAAGCGTCCGCCTCAATATTTATCGTTTCGTCCTTTATAGGATGAATTTTTTTGTTATTTGAAGCCCCACCCTGGCTTTTGCCAGGGGCCGCAATATAGGCAGGCCATAAATATGGCCAATTGTCTGAACGCGGTTTCTGGGACCTTTCCAAGGCGATCCTCATCCACATGGTGGCACTTTGTGTCATCGGGTGTTTGTCGCTAGTGTGATGCCCTAGTCGGGTAGAAAGTCCGTCAGTCCGCCTTAATAATTTTGTAAGGTTACTACAAAGTCTCCGTTACCCATTTAAATGAAACCACTGCAAGCTGTTTTTGTCTGGACATTTCATATTCTTTCAATTATAACATTATATTTATTTACAATTAAATACGGTTTGAGACCATTTCCAGATCAAAGGAAATTATTTTGGAGGGTTGTTCAGAATAACACCTTCCCCCTATAGGTCTACAAGTAACAATTCGATAGGATCACCAGGCAACATTCGAAAAGCACCGTCATTAACTCAACAGATCATGTGAAAACTTGGTTTTTAAGATCCCACATTTATATTCAATATCCTCTCCTGCTTCTTCAATTCTGTTTTCCTGGCAACACGCATGATCACTTCTGCCTAGATCAAGCTTACCAGGTTGGCTTTTTGATGCCGCATGACATAAATCTTTGCATAGCCCTAGTTTGACAGTGAATTCATTTGGCTTTTCTAAGCGCACTGTTTACTTTATCTGGTTTATTTCATAGAGGTCGAGACTTGGGGGGGGGGGGGGGGGGGGGGAGAGACAGGAAGAGGGAGAGAAAGGTGGAAAACAGAGAAAGAGAGAGAGAGAGAGAGAGAGAGAGAGAGAGAGAGAGAGAGAGGGGGGGGGAGAGAAGGAGACAGGAGGTGGAGACATACACACACAGGGAAAAAGAGATTAAAAAAAAAAAGAACACACAGCAGGAAAAAGAAGAACAGACGTGCCAAAAAGAAATAATTTGTCCCTATCATGGCTCAAACAGGTTTTCTTTCCTTGTGATGAAGGTATCCTACATTCATGTATTCACACATCCAGGAAATGTGTTGGGAAGTAAAAGTGGACAGCATGACATTGATTATATCATCCACCCAGTGCTCACTGCTTCTTCTCCTGCCCTTCTAGCCCCCAATGGAGCATAGGCCCTTAACCAACTCACGCCATGTCGTTCTATCTTTTGCTAACGCATGCAACTCTTCACATCTTTCTAACTTCAATTTCCAGCTCCCTTCTCCCTATTATTTGGGACCTACCTTTATTCCTACGCCCCTGTGGGTTCCAGTGCAAA